TCTCTCTGTCATGCTTCACTAGCTAAAGATGCAGCCAGACATCTCTCCTAAATCATTACCCCAGCCTTGGTGTCAGCCTTTCTGGAAGAGAGAAAATGCAGGTCCTCTTGGATCTCCCTTGGCATGTCTTCATTTCTGGGGTTAAGTTTTCAAACCCCTTGTTTACTGAGAGTTATGTACTTCTCCCAAAATGTCTCTCTACATACAACACCCAGTCATCCAAATCAGGGCAACTTGCTGCTTTGGGAACACATCAGCATGAAAGCAGGTAGGGCTAATGTCATAAAGGAGGACTAGAACATTCTTTGCTGATCTGGTAAGTGGATGGGCATAGGATACCTCCAGGAAACTACATCTAGAGGAATGGCTCAGTTGTCATGAGTGAAACCTTTATCAGCATACTGTTGAAAGTCCTAAAGGAGGTGATTAATTAAATTTTTTAACTTGCTTACAGACTTCAAAAGCACAAAAAGGTTCTTTCTGGCCGAAGTGATCACAGTCATAGTCTCAGCTCTTCTCCACTTATTGCTGCCCATTCTTGCTCCAGCTTCTACACTTGTGGAGTATGAAAGACAGTTTGATACTTGCCCCTGTGGGAAAGGAGCAAGTCCAAGGCATGAACTCAGCACAGTTTCCGTGGGTACTACCTGCTACCCCTGGGTTTCCAGGGACTAGGCTGTTCACACCTGGGATTGCATACAGAAGTGATCCTGTTCACAACATTGCAGAGCATTACGTTCCCACTGAAGGACCAGGCAGTCCATTTCCATTACATTTCCAGAAGCAAGGTCTTCTCACTAATTAGGGATGCTCTACCACATAATTCACAAGTTCGAAAGTTTCTGTTTATAGGACACACTCAGTAACTCTGAATTCAATATTTTAAAAAGTCTCTTTGCCCTTTTCTTGACCAAATCTCTCCCCTTCCCAGGAAATGAAAGTCCTGTACCAGGAATCTGGGCAATTAGGAGACAGGAAGGGGAAGGGGTTGGCTCATTTAAAGAAGGGAACTTCTTTGAGAGGAGGCAGTAATCAACACACAAAGCAAAGAACATCACTGTCATACCAGAAATGTTTATTTTGTTCCTGAGACTGAAAATGGCAGGGAGCATAGCATGCAGTTTGGAAGAACTGATGGCTGCAGAGACAAGTAATGGCTCTGAAGGACATCAGAATGAGTTTCTTTTCCAATTATTTTAGATAATATTTACCGGAACACTTTTCATTTCAAAGGAAAACTATTTAACTCAAAGACTCTTAGAGTTACTGGTAATCCTTGGATGCATGCTTTCAGAGACAGACCATGAGGGATTGAGGGACAGGACCCCCAGGAGAAAGCCCACTGTTATCCAAAGATTCCACATGTCCGTTTTCAGAAATTACATTCCCTCCCTTGTCTTCTCTCCTATCTGAGGCGGAGGTGCTTCGAAATGGCTGGATGAAGACTCGTCATCTCTGTGCCAGGCTGTTTCTAAGGGTGTCATAATGTTTATAACTGAAGTGATTTAAAGATGAAGGAAATGGATGTAGCAGGACAAGGTGGAGGTTGTGGTAATGTTAGCTCAGTATGACTGTGATACGTACTGGCAGAGGGGACTTTTTCAGGGAGCAAGGCTGTTCTTATGTTGTCAAGCTATCTGTTGTGCACAGGCAGCTAAGCAGAAGGAATGACACAAGCATATTCACAAGCAGTATCACTGATCAAAAATAAACATGTTATTTAGACACATTCCAGAGCACCATGCACCATCTCTCCCCAGGCATCTGCTTGTTTTATTACTTCTCTTAATAAAAGATAATATCTCAGTCCCTAAACCTCCCAGACATGCTTTTTTCTGCTCACCTGGCTGAGCTGAGGGGGCTGCAGCATTTTGTTTCTTTTGTGAGCTCAGCCCTGTGACACTGAAGCCAGTGGAGAAAGGCTGGCCAAGGGCAGCACTGAGTACTGGCACCCCACAAGAGGGAGTAGAGCCAGGCAATGCCAGCAGCAAGAAGGGGGGAGGAGCAGAGCCAACACAGAGCAAGAGCGCAGCCCTCATCCTGCTGCTCGAGAACTGAAAGGGGAGTTGTGGATGTGTGCTGCCTAAAGGGGTCAGACCCCGCTGCTGTCCCTGACTCTCCTTCTCAACCATAGTCACTGCTCCCTTCCACTCACCAGCAGCCAGCTTGTTCGTCCAGGGCTGCAATATGGCCAAAGCAAGCTGTTTTGATGCCAACAGCCCCCCACACAAAGGAGGCTTCCAATATTACCAGCATTTTGCTACTGGATTGTCTTTAAATTATTTTGGGGACTTGCTATGCAATTCAGCTGTCAAGTGTAAAGATCTGTATCTAAATTCATTATCTCCATCTCTGTTGGAAAGAAACAGGTACTCCTCAGGTGTGACTTGGTTTGTCCTGAAGCAGTGCAACTGCAACTCCCCTGGAAGTGTCTCCTTCTCTCCACTAACTATAGTGGGAATCTGCATTCTCTCTGATGAAGAAGTCTGCTCTCTAGACACCTAGGAGTCAATTAATACACTGGTGTCAAAGGTCATTTGACGTCCCCTGGGTTATTCAGTGTGAGCTGATGCTCCAGAAGGGTCATTTCCCACAGCTCTTATAAATTATATGCCATCCCTCTGCTGTTGACTGAGAAACAGTTAACAGAGCTACAGGACCTTCAATTAACTGTTTATCTATGCTGATGTAGCAGAATTAAGTCCATATAGAGGATATCTACATCTAGGTACCTCTAAATAAGCTGAGCATCTCAACTCTGAAACAGCAAGTGGAGATTGAGCACTCAATCCATTTGCTCTTACAAAGGTGATTTGAGATGCCTAAGGGTATCCAAAACATCTGCACAGGACTGCCAGATCTGATACAGAGGTAAGGGAGATTCATGTGCTCCTGGAGTGGTCACTGGAAGCTGAACAGGAGACACTGTGGCATCTCAAATGACATTGTCAATGTGCAAGCAACTAATGTGAGGCCCCAGGCAATCCAAGCGGCCACACCTGGGAGCATTTCAGTGCACACAGAAATGGGCACCTGCATCCAATTAGCTGGGACAGTCCTTCCGACCTTTTGGCTGTTTGGGAGTTCAGACACTCAGCTCACATTTAGGTAATAACCATCAGATATCTAAATTTAGATGCCTCCCTCTGCAAGTAACATCCTGTAACTAAAGTGAGGTGACTTATCTCACCTTTTTGGTATGATCACTGTGCCATTTGTACTTGCCCATGTAGACCTGTGATGCTTCTCCACCTTTCCTGGCACTGCGTGAGAGCCATGGCCACCATGTCTCAAGCTAATCTACCATGAGTGAGTCAGCAGCCCTCAGGCTTCTAAGTCACTTGGGATTTTTTTTTAAATGTAGTCCCATTTATTAGCCTTCTGAAAGTACAGGATGTGTTTGATGGCTGACACTCAAGGATTTCTCAGGCATTCTGTAAAATGTCAGTGTTGCTTTTATCTTTTCTTCTTTTTTTCCCCTTTATAATTTGACAGGGTCTATTCCATGGGGGTTTGTGTGTCTGTGTAAATGTAGAGAAGTAGCTGGCAATCCATAATGTGCTCTGACAAGATGCAAATAGGCTGGCAGTGACCAGTGACCTTTGAAATCTTCTTGGGATGTCTTCCTAGACAGGTTGTGTCCTACTGAGATGGTGCTAAACTCTCCATCACTCCTTCTTTCCTCCTCCCATTCTTCATAACTGCCTCCTTCTTCGCTGGCTCACTAAGCCTAGGACCTACCTTAAAGTTTAGATTAATTTCATATAAAGAAACGTGATATGTCCTTTCCTAAGAAGCCTCAGGATTTTACACTGAAACAAAAGTAGGAAGGACATGAGGAACTGTCTCAGGGCTTATCATGGCCCACCCCACAGTGACTGCACTGTGTTGCCTTTCACTGGGTGAGCCACTCATCCCTGCAGGCCCTTATGTACTTCTGTGAGGTGTGGAAGAGAGGACTCTCCTGCAGGTGTCTTGTGGCAATCTCCACATGTGATATTCAAAAAGAACCAGCACCCAGAAGTAAGCCCTAAACCAACCAACCAAACAAAATTAACATGCAGATAAGGCATCTGTGGGCAGTCAGACTTCAGCACAGGCATATACATCCACTCCTCCCTTTTTGAGAAGGAGCACAAACTTCATGAGGTGGGAGGGATTTCCAAGTTTTAGGGGCTCTGTGTAGGGACAGTGCTTGGTGTGGATAGGCCTTGATCTCAATTTCTTATCAGGATAATAAAATACTCCCAGTGAGTAATATTTAAATAACAAATGAAGTCATGAACACGTTGGAGATACACGAGGATTTGGATGGGATTGTGCCGATAGGTGTGTCGGGCCAGAGGCATAATATGTAGAGTAAGGGGGAATATATCATTGCCTTTGTTCATTAACAGTTTGGGCCAGAATTTCGACAAAGTGACTCAGCGCTTGCGAGCAAACAGAACTGAGGCTCCAGAGAGCAAGGCTGGAATGAGCAAGACACAAGGAAAGTCAAGCTGGCCTTTTCAGGAAAGGAGCTGGCTGGCACAGGTGGAAGGGACAAGCAGAGTAGACAAGTCCCCACATGCAGTCTCAGCACCCAGCAAGAGCCCCGAGGAAACCATCTCTGGAGCCAAGCTTGCAACCACTCTCCCTCAGGGCACTGTGGGCCCGTTCACACTCCACAGCCTCTCGTGTCTCACTTTGCAACCAGTTATCTGGTGAGAAAGCACGCAAAGAGACAAAAGGCTTGGAGCAGGGAGGGGATGCACTGCTATTCATAGTCCCGGTCCCCACCCACGGGTGCCAGGACTCAGACAGGGGAGCTCCTTATCAGGTGCTTGACTGAGCAGCATTCAGTCCCAGCCCAGGGCTGGGACAGGCAGCGGCTCCATCTCCACCCCGACGCAGAGGTGAGTGCCCCACTGACGTCAGGAGGTCTTACTTCATTTCCTGGCACAGGGACCGAATTTTCATAGCCGTGTCCTGTGGGAGAGGAGAGGCGGTGGAACTGGAATAGGCGTGCTCAGCCCCACCTCCGCAGCCCTCCAGCTGTTAAAGCTCCCACGAAGGGCGGGCGCGGAGCTCCTGCTGGGCCGGGGTTGCGGAAGCGGCGGTGTCTGTGTTACTGCTGCACTGGAAACTTGCCTCTTGCAGACGGAGCCTCCCTGTTACCTACCCAGAAAGGTAATTCAAGGCAATGTTTTACAGGATCCAGGGCAGGCCTGCCTTCTGCAGCTGGGATGGGATGGCGTGCAGGACCATGGCTCTGGAGGGTGGGAGAGCAGGGGCATGGGGTGCCACAGTGCATGGGATTGCCAGCCGGAGCTGGTGGGTGGGGGGTGTTATGAGAGACATTCCCGGGAAAGTATTTGAAATTTGTGGGTGGATGAGTGTATTTTATGCACAAGTATCCATGAGAGAGGAGGGTCAGGGTGGAGGGAGAGTACTCAGCAGTCAAGCGAGAGCCATGATTTGGGATGTGCTGTATAAGTTACCACAGCACAGACTCCTTTGCACTGACTGCAGAACCCCTTGGAATTCCTAGACACTTCTGTAGGTGCTGGATGAGCACGCTCAGCTTCTGGGGGACAACAGTCACCCAAGTAGACAGGGCAGAGATGCTTCATGACTCATCATGCCTCATAGAACATCTACCCCTGAAAAAAAAGAAAAGGCAGTAAAAATTATTACAAGTGGCCCAGTTCCCCAAGTCAGCAAGGTTCTTTCCATCCTATTTGTTCCAATGGCCATCGTGGCTGGCTATGGCAAGTACCACTTGCAGTAAGCACCAGTCAGGACTCAAAGAAATGGGTGTGCTCTGTGCTGCCATGTCTCATGCTGGCTCTCTGGGCTCTGCACGTGCCCCAACAGTGAGCACCAGTCTGTATCTGCCAGAGCTGTGAACAGATAAGCTAATCTGTTCAATAGTAAATGTCTGGATAAAATTTTAGCGTTTGCTCTACAGATTTTCAAAAAGGTTCATTATTTGTTACTCAGAAATATCCAGATAACTCTCAGCTATTTGTGCAAGAGACAAATCCCCAAAATTTAGTGAACAATGATTTCTGAAAACTCCTGCATATGTTATTCACTTATTCTGTTCTTTCCATGGGAGTCCGAAGTTCCTGCATATTTGAATAATTTGCATTTTATTGTAGTCAGCTTTTTGAAGAGCTGTACATCTCCTTTTACACAGTGAGGTTAAAACCTGGAAGAATATTCCACCATTTCAGTTATAAGCAGGCACATTGGAGCACATGTGGGGCTGAAAGTGAGTCAGTGATATTTTCGCCCTTTGTTCATCCCTTGATTAGATCAATTGTCATTATTGAGAACAGTCTGCACTCCCTAAAATCTGTTGGAAGGGCTTTAGAACCAGCTTCATAATTGCAGTATGTTGTTCTGGAGGGAGAAAATCAAGGCAAATGCCATAGTGAGCAATAAAGTCTAAATTTTGCAAGGTTAATTTTTTTTGTTTGTCTGTCAGAAAGCCCCTGGTTTTCCAGTGTCGGTCACCTTTAAGCACAGGTTCGCCCATGTTTCATTCTGTTATTGTATCTAAACTCCTATTTTGATAGATTTTAGTGACCCGAGGCTAACTGATCAATTTGGTAGAAAGCAGTACCTGGTCCCTGGGATCTAATGTACCATGAAGTACCCAACCCCTTGTGCAGTAGTTTCTGCATATGCTTCAAGCTCCCAAGGAGATAGGGAACTTAATTCCCCTCAGCGATGGGCAGAGCTCACCTAAACAGCTGTCTTAAGCCCTCTTTATCCCCTGGCGAGACAGGCTTACTCAGACAGCACTGAAATCCTTACAAGGAGACAGCAGGAATGTGCTAGGTGCATTAGGGACCTTGACATCATTGACTTGTGGACTCCTCACATGGTAACTTGCTGGTTACTTCTCATGCAATGAACAGCATTAGCTCTGACATGTCAGGCCTCTAGTCAGTGCAAGGCAATATCTTGGGGAGGAGACTGAGGTCTTCAAGACACTTCTTATTGCTGCACTGCCATGAAAAAGGAGGAATATGAGTTTAGGGATAATGGTTGGTGGCCTATATTTGCTATTTAATTTGGAGTGAGAAGAGCTAAGCCAGAGATATCCAGGTTAGTTATCTGGAGGATAAAAGGCGGTAAGGTTCCCCCTTCACTCATAATAGTAAAGGCATTACAGTTCCCTCTTTATTTATCCCAGTAAACCACAGCCAAAAGTGCTTTAGAGGTAGTAAAAGGAAAACAAACAGAATAACAAGTTTCCTGTTCTGCACTGTTCATCTCTGAACCTCACTGGTACAAGGTACTGATGTTGTTTGGACTTGTCAAAAAAGGGTAAACTGTGTTATGACTAACAGCTGCTCTTGTATCACAGAAGTGACAAGGCAGCTCTGCACTGCAGAGCACCAAGCTAATGCCTGTGAAAGTGCCTCACCTTTTCCCTGTTCCCCACGCTCCTACAACATTGCACAACCTCAGGCACAGTGCAGAGGACATTCAAGGTGATTTGCCTCCTGCTGAGGGGCTTGGCTTGTCCTTGATAGATAGTCTATATCAAACAAGGAGATGGCTCTGCTCCCACGGCCCCATGTCCTTAGCACTGTGGTGAGGTGAGGATGGAGGTCTATCCTGCCTCTCGTTCCTCAGTGCTGGCAGCACCCAGATGGTTGATATGACAGCCTGTGTCTTTTCTTCTACAGCTTTGAAGAAACATTTCACAGGGAGGTTGTTCAGGAAAGCAAGAGGATGACAACATCACCTCCCCAAGGCTGCGGCAGCATCCATGCTGACTACTACCTGCTCTGTGACACAGAGATGGCCTGGGGGATTGTCCTGGAGTCGCTGGCTGCAGCAGGCATCCTCATCACCATTTTCCTCATCTGCTCGCTCTTCTTTCTCATCTGCAAAGTCCAAGACAACAGCAAGCGGCACATGATCTCCGTCTATTTTTTCTTTCTCTTAGGCACACTCGGCATTTTTGGTCTCACTTTTGCCTTCATCATTAAACTCAATGACAGGACTCGCCCCACTCGCTTCTTCCTATTTGGAGTCATCTTTGCTCTCTGCTTCTCGTGCCTCCTCACCCATGCCTGTAACCTCAGCAAACTAGTGAGAGGAAGAAAGCCCTTCTCCTGGCGGGTGCTGCTGCTCCTCATTGTTTCCTTTGCCCTGGTACAAGTTGTGATCAGTATTGAGTACTTAGTCACCATGCTAGTAAATCAGAAAGACAATTTTCTGAATATGTCTCGGGAGGATACCAACAAGGACTTTGTCATGCTTTTGATCTACGTGCTCTTCTTGATGGCTCTGACCTTCTTGGTTTCCATTTTCACATTCTGTGGGTCATACAAAAGCTGGAAGAGGCACGGGGCGCACATCTTTGTCACTGTCCTGTTCTCCATTGCCATTTGGGTAGTGTGGATCACTATGCTCACAAAAGGCAATACAGTTTTAAAAAAAGAAACCTGGGATGATCCTGTCGTGGCCATTGCTCTGGTGTCCAATGGTTGGATTTTCCTGATAATGTATATCGTCCCTGAAATTTGCTTCCTCACTGCTCCTCTGAAGCTAGAGGACTACCCTCCAGAAAATGACTTCTGCCAGCCCAAATTCATAAAGCAGGCAACCGGCGTGGACAACCGTGCCTACACCCAAGATGAAATTGTGCAAGGTATGATGAAGTGAATGACTCCATTGTCCCCCAGCCCAAAGCATGCAAGTACCACTCTTGAGCTAAAAGGGGTAGGAGGGCTACAAGAAAAGACTTGAAGATGATAGGTAATTTAGAGATAGGAAAAAGTTTCATAGCGATTAAACTTCAGAAATACACACGAAAATTAATCTCCAGACAAGACGGAAATGAGTAAGGACCAATGCAGATGCCGAAGATGTGTAGGACGAGTGACTGAGTAGGAGACTAGCTGCATATGGCTGAAACATAACTCCTTACAACCCTGCTGTGTCAGGGAAGTCCATGTAAAAAATCAGGAGAGTTTTTTGTCTCTTAGTGATGTACCAGCTCATCAGACCTCTTCAGGTTATACCTTGGAGGTTATTTATTCCAGTTCTGATCTCATTGCCATTATCCATTTAAGAATGAACCCATCATCCAAAAAGGAGGCAACGAGGTCTTCCTTTTCTGTATCAGTCTCCTGCCTATTTGGACAAAGCAAAATGTTTTATCAGTTGAGGCTTCCCAAATCTATGGGCAGGAGATGTGATTCCCCTCCCTGTGGATCTGCTACTGAGATCACATTTGTCACCTGGAGTGAAACACCCAGGTTTGTAAAAGAATAGCCAAGAAAAGTTGTGCTCTCCCAGGGAATACTGCAGACGGGGTCTTGTGCATACAAATGGGAGGGATTTGGCTGGTGATGGTGACAGTAATTGTGAGGCAACAGGAGGTGTCTAAACTCCAAGGCTACCTATGTCCTGTTGTTTGCAATACCATTCATTCCTGTTTTCAGAAGGAAATATTTAATAAGTCATCCACCTATGGATTTTAACCCATTCCTGCCTATGTATTGTATAGTTGGTCAAGTCTAAAAGCAGCTGCTTATGTAGCCCCCGGCCCTTTGAATCTCCCTTGATGTGGTATTTCCAAGCTACTGTATAATGCTGATGCACTAACTTTCCCCTCATCTTGTTTTGTGACCCAGGAAACACAGGAGACCCCAGCTACTCCCCATACACTTCTCACTTTCAGATGAAGGTAAGTTCATGCCCCCTGTCATCTCTTTCACCACATGGAGGCTATTATTCGGGCACTGAAGGCAAGGAAAGTAGAAGGGCCAAAGACAGACGGAGCTCGAGCAGGCTCTGTGGAGGCAGACAGGTGCTTTGCATGGAGCCAGGTCATACCATGATGTGTTCATGGAGGTGCCTGTGGCTGGGGGGAAGGAGCTGTGACATGTCCAGGGACATGGGAACGCAAGAAAGGTCCCAAGGTAAAGTCTGAGGTGTAGTTTTTAATATTTCAGGCTTTGATATCACATTTTTGAGCACAGTTCCTGCAGTAGACTGTGTCCTTTCCTAAGGAGATCGTGCTTATTTCCCCAGCCCATGCCCTGAATGTATTCCCACCTGCAGACACTGGACACTGCAGTACAGATCCCGTATGGGCAGTCTGCATGTCCACCTGTCCATTCACCAGTCCTCCTTCAGACCACAGCCTACCCAAGTCTAGTAGTTCACATCAGGTCCCCATGTGTCCTCTGGTGACACATCTTCATCACTGATTTGTTCTGCCAGGATCCTCTTTCACTGCCTCATTGATCACATTCTCAGGAAACCTTCAGCTCTGTTTCTCCCTCCCCTCCTTTGTTAAGCCCTATTCTATTACTTCTCTCCAGTTTTCAAAGGCAAAGACTTTTATGCTTCCTTTTCAGGCCATCGAACCCCAGAATGATTTCTCCATCCCTCGCGCCAAGGCCCGGACAAGCCCATACCATGACTACACTGGTGGGAAAAGCCCCATGTAGCAGCTCCACAGGGAGCAAAGACACTAAGTGCCCACCAGCAGAGGCATGGGGAGTGGGCCACGTGGTCACAAGTGAGATGATCCTTCAGAAGAGAGAGTCAACCCACCACCAAAAAAGAGAGGGATCCTCTTCCCCCACACAGGCACCCCTGTAGTCCCCTCTCATTCTTCAAACCCAGCTTTCAGACACTGCTCTGGCCATCCTGTCCCTGCGCACTCTGTGTCTCCATGAAATGGAGCTTCTCTCTTCTGACAGAGGATTGTCCTGGCCTATTTTCAGCAGGAATGCTGTAAGGCTAGAGAAGCAGGAAGATTGTCCGCTGGGTCTGCAACTGGCTCTGCCCCAGAGAGGACTTGCTTTAATCAGCTTGTGAGTATGCCTGCACCTCACATCTGATAGGAGAAGAGGCAGGACCAGGAGCATCAACCCTACACATCCCCTACTCCTGCCCCCCCATGAAGACATCTGAGGTACTATTGAGGACACCCTTATCTATCCACTGTTACTTTTGTGCCCACTCCCAGCCCTGCCTGGCTCTCCTCCAGAGATCAGTGTAGAAGAGACAGACAGAGAGAGAAAGTATTCTTTTTTCATTTTCGTAATTGCTTCCAACACCTTCCTCATCATCTAGGGACCATGGTGGAGAGGGGGAAGAAAATTTAAAGACATAAAAAGAGCTACACCTATTTACCCTGACAAATTTTTCAGTTCGCGCTTCAGCGTCAGCCTCCCTCCTGGCTCTGACTCCTCACCACATGCCCCAGCTGAACTCCCCAGGAGGAGCCCAACCCCACAAATGAGGGGTTTGGGTCCCTTCTCACCCCTGCCACTGCAGGCTGTGGATCCACGAAGACAAAACCCCTTCGATACATCTCTTTGCAATACCCTGGTGGGATTTAATCTTGTGAACCTTGGAGCTCTGCCTCCTTCTGAGTGTGTCTGTGGCATTAACACAAACATTTCCCAAGCAGCCAGGTTACAGAGGGCGGACACCCTTCTTCCCAAGTGTGAGTAAGCATGAGCATCTGCACGTCTGTGTGCGTGTGTGTGTGTGTGTGTGTGGACTGCACCCTGGTGATGAGCAATGAGTCTGCAGAGTTGAATCATTCTGTAGCCTGCTTTGCATTTGATAAATAGCTTTCCATGATATTTCATACATAACTACAGAGAGCTCTCCAAGTGGGTGTGTATGGTACACTGGTGTCTGACACAGCTATGTATTTATTTAGTACTTTGTATGTGGAATATTTAATTAATAAAAACCAAAACAGCCTATGAGAAACTGGTGTTCTGTCTTGGGAATGTGATTCCTGCAAAGGGTGGTGGAGTGACAGCAATAGCTCTCCATGGGTTGGAGTGGGCCACCTGGGAGGTTGCACTTGGAGCAAAAATGACAAAGAGATGCTGGCTTCTTTGAAGCTGTCATTGTGGATGTAAGATCAGCTGCTTGAGAGTGCAGGAGAAGGGTTAGTAGCTTCTCCATTCTACTTTTCTTGAATGAAGAAAGTTGATTCAATGTTAAAGGTGCTTAAGAAGTGAATAAATATAAAACCAAGCCATGGCAAGCAAATGCTGGAGGAAAGATGCGAACTTTTCATCACTGCATGTGTCTGTATCTGCTGTGTCAATACTCCTGTATTTATTCACTTGTGTCTTGTTGGGTATTTGCACAATCAAGAACAGGAAAGGAACACAAGGTATGTAATTCAGTTTGTAAAAAGATGTCTTTCTGATGTTCCTAATACATGTAATATTTTTATTTGAAAGTAGAAAACAATATCAAAGCAAAACAATTATGTCTGAAGATGATAATGACAATAATGATAATAACAATTTTTTAACTACCTGATGGTGTGAGGCTATAATCTCCCTTTTTAGAGGATCCTCTCTCATGAGATTTTACATGATATGTAATGCTACCACATGTCCATATGCTCTTGCCCTTTCCTCAGGCACAGTGCTGTCTAGAATATGTCAGTCTGGGCCTTCCCCACTCTTCCTACCAGCACTGAAAGGCAACAGAGGGACATTTGAGGCTTCTGAATCACTTGGCATGAAAAAGAGCCCTCCTAAGGATTGGTTTGAAATGTGTCACCAGATAACTTGCCTTTTTCTAGTAAATTTGAGGTGGAAATAATGCTAACTCCCCTCCTCTTCTCCCCTCCACCTAACAGTCCACAGGTGTAACACAGGATGGGAGAGAAAACTCAAGGCTGCTAAAGTAACACTGGGGAGGAGGCAGGGAAAAGGGGTGTGTGAAGCCACAATGCAACTTCTTGACTTGCAGACTGAAGATAGGAGGGATGTGCTTGAAACAACGAACTTTAAAGAAATTTGGTTTTCAAGTAGATGTGGTGTCACTGATGGCTTAAATGTAGATAATGTCCCAGGATGATTCAAAAATGTGTTAAAACAGAGCCAGCTCCCCTGCTTCAGTGCACTCTGGTGGAGCAAAGGGACAGGTTAATGGGAGAAATAAGACTGAAGTGTGCTCTTACTGTGCGTGTTTTCCATAACCCAAGCACTTACTGACTCCTTCACTAACTGCCACAGAACAGAAAGTCCCTCCCAATGCACCTTGGCCCCAGAGGGAGCAGAACTAGAAGGGATGAGAGACACCATATGCATCCCCATCGATTCAGGGCATGGTGATTTTCTTGATTACTTGGCTGTTACTGTGTATGCTGCTTGGCAGAGAATGAAAATCTCCTTCCATGGATTTACAGTGCCTTTTAGAGTAGTTTTTTTAAACCTCTGTAATGACACAAATACTAATCTGCCCAGAGCTATTTTGCACTTGTTCAATATTAAGGCAGCTTTGGGTGAGGGCCGATTTAATGCCAAAATAAATATGAATTTCTGTGGAACTTGGCACTAGTAGGAAAGGAGTGCTGCTGCTCTGAGGATTTCTCACACTTCAGGAGAGACTTTTGGGAAAACAGCAGTTTCCTCTCTTCTTATAATTGAACCAAACCAGTTGGCCACTTAGTCACACACACACACATGTCCCAGGGAAATCCTAAACTGGTGGGGCCAGACAGACTAGACCCAAAAGGCGCAGGTGGGTTGAGGAGGCAGGAAGGTTGTCTAATCTTTGTGCTGTTTTTTCTTAAAATCTGCTCACTGGAAGGCCTGTAAACCCAGTAAGGCTCATCCCTACCCACTCTCCTGCAAAAGGCTCCCTTAGTGGTGGTGGTTGCAGGTATGCTGCATTCAGGGCCCTCTGGTTTCTGGTCCCTCCTCTCCCTGTTCGAGGAGACTAGAGCATCAGAAACGTACACACCAGAGAAGGGTTGGCACAGAGCACACTTGGATTATGAAAGCAGCCAGGATTATCGGGAGATAGGATAAACTCTGCTGAACTTCAGGTCAGGGGTGTCATGGGAAAAGAGTAAAGAATGACAAAAACACTGCTCAGTCCCAGGACCTTCAGGGTCACCATCCCATGGCCTTGCCAGGACTGTAGGGCTCCACGTGCCTGGCCAGGAGTGAACATGAATGGTGCAATAAACCCTTGGAGCACAGACACAGGTCAGTGGTGCCACGGCCTGGAATGGGGAAGGATCTTGCGGGGTTTACTTCCCAAATGCTCCCTGGTTTGCCAAAAAGCTCCCCTTCTGGCAGCTGGTGCCAGTGCCACCCTCCCTAACAAGATGTTTCTTTGGGAGGCATTCACCCTCTCCCCACAAATCCTGTAGCTCTTGTTGTGGTACAGGGGTCATGAGTCCCCCTTCTTCAGCTGGGACTACTCTCTCCAGGCTCACAGGGCCAGGGGATCACTTTAATCAGATCTGCTCCCCAAGGAACAAAATCACAGGGTCATATCTTGGATGTGGCAACTTTTGGTCCAACTGAGCATGTTGTTCCTTTGTCAAAGGTGACTGACTGTCTCACAACAGGGCTGACATTACAGATGATGTGGCCAGTGCCCAATGACAGTAGTCACCTCCTCCCACACAAACCCTACACTGTATGTTTCAGTGTGTGTCATCATACTGGACCAGAAAAAAGGTAGCTGAAGAGGAGAAATACATCCTATTTTTCTGGCCCCGATAGAGGCAAAGTAAACAGCTGGGAGCACAGTCTCCTTCAGCCATCCCAAGTAACTGCACTACAGCCCATAAACAGCACCTTGAGGGGAACAACAGCCAGAGGAGCAAGGGGCAGCATTAAATCCCCTACATTTCCACTGGGCCAGGTGGGCTGCTTAGCTTACACTCTTCTCCTCCACACACACACTCCCCAGGGAGGGACTGGCTTTGCAGCTTCTTAAAGACAAACATGAGATCTAAAAGCTGCCAGTGTGAAGGTAATGTGTGGGTAACACGTGAGATGCCTCTTGCTTTATTCTGCCCCAAGCTCCCTTCAAAGCTCCTTTCACACACATGCAGGGAGCTGGTGGTCCTGAGAAACAACAGAGTTCTTCCTCATTTCCAGATCTTTCCTACATTTTAGTAGGTTTAGCAGTATTATAGAGTCACACAAAGGCTCCAGTCAGATGGGACCTCTATAGAGGTCTAGTCTAGTAAGTCTTCAGGCAGAAGCCCTGAAGAAGGCTCAAGTCAAAGCTAGACCAGATTTGAGGTAAGCTTTGAATATCTCCAAAGGTGGAGATCACACAGCTTTTCAGGGTTCCTGTGCTGGTGTCTGACCACCCTCACTGGTATCTTTTTTAAACTTGTGTCTAATCAGAATTTCCCTTGTTGCAACTTCTCTGTCATCCCCAAGACCTTTCAGTGTGTACCTCTAAGAGAAGTCTGGTCCCATCTTCTCTATAGGATCCATTTAGTTAATAGACAAAAGCAACCCCCTTAGCCTTTCTCCTGGTGGCTGAGCAGGTCCCTCAGTCTTTCCTCCTGGTGACATGCTCTAAGCAGCTCCCAGCTGTCTCAGTGGCCCCCCTGCCAGACTTGTTCCACTTGATCAAGCTCTGTTGCAGTGAGAGACCCAAACTGGACACAGTACTCCACATACAACCTCACGAGCACTAAATAAAAGGGAATAACCAACTCCCTCACCTTGCTGACTTCACTCCTACTCATGCAGCCTGGTATGTGGTTGGCATACATTGCCATAAGTGCGCATCGCTGGACAATGCCTTCTTCAGATTAATTTTCCCCAGCACCAGTTACTCCCTTTGCCCTGGAGGAGCTTGTGTGATTATAAATAGAAGAGAGTCAACAGTCCTGAGGTTCCATCTCTAAGGCAGGTTGTTTCCGGCAGGAGCCACAAATAGCACCCAAGGCCACACAGCTGAAGGTTGCAGTGGTAGCTGCCTCTCCCAGCAGAAAGCCCTGGAGAAGGAAACCCAAAGGCCCCTGCTCTAATTTGCCTGCTTTCTGGGGCTCTGAACGCAAAGTGGAGTGGTGCCTCTACGGCAGCAAGCCCAGCCCTTTTGTACCACCTGGTCTGCATCACTCCACCCTGCTGGGGTTGGTGAGCTGTTGGTGACCAGCTGTGCTCAGTGAAGCTGTGCATTCTGGGCCACCCAACCACAGGGACTTGCTGCCTCTGCCTCAAGGCAGTCTTTGCCACTGCACTGAGCAATGCAGGACAATGGCCGTGAGAGGCTCGCCTGGGGGTCCCTGCCCCCCTCCAGCCATTTTGGTACCTGTGTGCCTGGGACATGTCCTGTCCCCTCTCCCTCCCTGAAGCACATTCACCCTTCTGTACCCAGGACTCTCCTACTCAGGAACCTTTCCCTCCCCTAAAGTCAATATGCTTTGCCACATGCAGTTTCTAGGGCAACTGGTGTTTGCTTTGCTTTTGCTATGGTGATGAGTGAAGCACTGTGCTAGATATAAGCACCATTTTCTGCAAAATGCTTTCTGAAGTGCCAGGCATGGAGCAGGAGCTGCCATCCTGGCTGGCCAGGCTGATTTTATTTGTATCTACGTCCAGAGTCAGCCAGGCAGAGCTGGTAACCGGTGCATTTGAGGAGAAAGCAAAGGCTGTGGCTTACAAAATGGGCATCTTGTTTTCTAATTAATTAGTCAAGAGCTGAAATAGAATGCTCTGTCTCTAACATATGTCACTGTCTGTTGTTTCTCCCTCAAAACAGTCTGTAGTGAGGATCAAATGATTGAGTATAAAGAAATGCTGAAAAATTTCTGTGAGATCTCTAATCATGCAGAGAAAGGGACGTGGGTAGCATCCTGGGCTCTGGTACTGCTCCTTGCTTGGTGCTGTAAGCAACTACATTTTCCTGCGAATCAGCTCTCTATTGCTTTCGCCAGGCTGAACAAACACATGCTTGAATCTCTGTGTCACTTGGGTGTTGCT